TCCATGGTGCTTCCCACGCCTGCGGGGGAGATACCAGCTGGTCTGTGGGGGCGTTGTGGGACGGCATGGACCCATCACTGACGGATGAAGGGGCCTGTGCCACCGCGGGGGACAGCGGGCCTTGTGTCCCAGCAGTCACCATGGCCCTCAGAGAGCCCTGCGGCTGTGCAAGGGGCAGGGGCTGCCGTCCCTCCCCCTTGGCTCTGGTAGAGGCAGGGAAGTGTCCAGCAGCTCAAACACCTTCCAAAGGTTCCCGACCCAGAGGTGGAGGTGGCTGGACATCCCCGGGGGCTCACAGGGAGCCAGGGTGAGCTCCCCGTGGCCTTCTGCGTTCCTGGTTTACTGTGTTTGGATTGACATGGATCACGGCTGGAGTCTTTGAGCCATTATCTATCATATTGGAGAACTCCTGGCAGTCTGGTGAAGTTCCCCCTGACAGGAAAAGGGGAAACAAAAGACCCATTTTTACAAAGGGGAAAAAAGGAAGACCCGGGGAACTACAGGCTAGTCAGTCTCACCTCTGTGCCCGGCAAGACCATGGAGCAGATTCTCCTGTAAACTTTGCCAAGGCACGTGGAAAATAAGGAGGTGACTGGTGACAGCCAACATGGCTTCACTAAGGGCAAATCTTGCCTGACAAATTTGGTGGCCTTCAACGACGGCGTTTCAGCGTTCGTGGATAAGGAAAGATCAACAGATGCCATCGACCTGGACTTGTGCAAAGCATCTGACACCATTCCACATGACATCCTTGTCTTGATATTGGAGAGACACAGATTTGACAGATGGACTGGTGGATAAGGAACAGGCTGGATTGTCACACTCAAAGAGCTGTGGTCAAGGGCTCCATGTCCAAGTGGCGAGCATTGATGAGTGGTGTTCCTCAGGGGTCGGTGCTGGGACCGATGCTGTTTAACATCTTTGTTGGTGACATGGATGTTGGGATGGAGTGCACCCTCAGCAAGTTGGCCGATGACACCAAGCTGTGTGGAGCGGTCGACACGCTGGAGGCGAGGGATGGCATCCAGAGGGACCTGGCAGGCTGGAGAGGTGGACACGTGCAAATGTCATGAAGTTCAACAAGGCCAAGTGCAAGGTCCTACACGTGGGTCGGGGCAATCCCAAGCACAAACCCAGGCTGGGCAGGGAATGGCTGGAGAGCAGCCCTGAGGAGAAGGACTCGGGGGTGTTGGTGGATGAGAAGCTCACCATGAGCCGGC